TTCATCAGTGAGTGACCATCTGCCCGCGGGCTGGCCCCGGCCCCCCCTGCCCGAGCACGTGTCCCCACCGCCCGCACACGTGTCCCCGCACACGTGCACGCTCCCCCCGCGCTGCCCGCTGCCCCGTGGGGATCCAGGCACTCGGCTGCCGGCTCCCACCCCACACCCACAGGACAGGGACGGGGGGACAGGGATGGGGACAAACCGCAGTGGGGCAGGGACCAGCACGGGGGGTGAATGAGGCACCCCAGCCCTGGTAGCCTGCCTGGCCCCGGTGGCCCTGATGGCCATGCCACCTCGGCGTCCATGTAGCTTTTGTGTTCCCAGTGCCTGGGTGACCGTGGGGACTGTGTCACTGGGGTACCCATGTGGCCACCGGTGTCTGTGCCACCTTGGAGCTCACGTGGCTGTGGTGTTTGTGTGTTCCCAGTGCCCACATGGCTCTGGTGCCCATGTCACCGTGGTACACGGTGCTCCTGTGCCTATGTCACCTTAGTACGTGGTCTTGGTGCCCACGTTGCCCTGGTGTTTGTGCCACCTTGGTGCCAGCGTGGTCCTGGGGCTTGTGCCACCTCGCTGCCCTTATGGCCCCAGCGCTTGCATCCCCTTGCTGCATGCCCAGGGTGCCCATCTCACCTTGGTGCGTGGTCCCAATGACCCCTCTGCCCCATGCCCATGCCACCCCGGTGCCCGTGCCCCTCATGCCAGCCCGGCCCCACGGGGCAGCCCATCGGTAAGGCGTGTTGCCCGTCCCGGCAGTGTGTACCTACTGCAGCACCGGAGACCTGCATGCGCTGTGGCGTGCCGCCGGGCGCTTCGCCGAGGCCACCGTCCGCCTGTTTGCTGCCGAGCTGGTGCTGGTGCTGGGTGAGTGGCCTGCCACGCCGGGGACAGACACCACTGTCCCCACCGATGGGGACCTGCAGGCAGGGTCAGCCATCCCCGGGGGTGGGCAGCTGCCTGCTGGCTGCAGTGGGGGTGGCAGCAGGCACCGTGCCGAGCAGGGACCCACCATTCTGACGGCTCCATCTTCTCCCCAGTGTACCTCCACGACCTGGGCATCATGCACAGAGATGTGAAGGTGGGTGGCAGTGGGGGGCAGGAGGGTGGGGTGGGAGGTGTCTCTGAACCCCCCCAGCGCCTGTCTCATTTCAGATGGAGAACATCCTCCTGGATGAGAGAGGTAAGAGTCTGATAGCACTGGCTTGTGGATGCCCCATCCGTGGGGGACACTCTGACCATGGGGGCACCCCACCTGTGGGTCCCCACTCATTGCCTCACCCCACAGGGCACCTCAAGCTCACCGACTTCGGCCTCTCCCGCCACCTGCGGTGGGGCGAGCGAGCCCACACCATCTGTGGCACCCTGCAGTACATGGGTAAGGGGGCAGTGGGGGGCTGCAGTGTGGGGCACGGCCCCCCCAGGCACTCACCTGCTCATTCCCACAGCCCCGGAGGTGCTGAGCGGGGGGCCATACAGCCACGCAGCTGACTGGTGGTCACTGGGAGTCCTGCTCTTCGCCCTGGCCAGCGGGGAGGTGAGAGCCACAGGTGACAGGGGGGTGATAGGAGCACCCCATGGAGCCCCTAAATCTGTTCCCTGACCCCCCAGTTCCCTGTGGCGCCGGCGGGGGACCACGTGACCATGCTGGAGCGTGTCAAACAGAGCAGCTACGAGAGCCCACCCGCGTTCAGCTCCGCGCTGGCCCGGCTGCTCGCCGAGGTAACCTTCCCGCCTGGATTTTGGGGTTCCTGCTGGCCCCTTGGGCTGGATGCCGGGGTCTCCACCATTCACTGTCCTCCCTCCATCCCCAGCTGCTGTGTCACAACCCCCTACATCGCCTGCGCTACCTCCACCACTTCCAGGGCCACCCCTTCTTCCACGGGGTGGCCTTTGACGCCGACCTGCTGCAGAAGGACCCGGTGGCGGTAGCAGTGGCCCCGCGCCCCCCCGAGCAGCCCCTTCCCGACCCCGCCACCTTCGCTGACTTCGACTGCGACCTCGTCGCTGTCCCCTCGGGTCAGCCCTGGCCTGGCTGAGCCACCCTGGCTGGGACCCCCAACATCGCTCAGGGACATCCCCCCCCC